CCCGGAGGCGGGGTGCTCATCAGCAATGATGACTGGGGGCTCCTTCTCGGCGATATCCCCCTTCTTCGGCTTTTTGGTAGCCGGGGGGGGACCCCTTGGTCGCCGCCTTCCTCTTACTGGCAGCGGCATCGCCCTCGGCCTTTTTGAAGAGGGCAGTGGCGGGCTTCTGGTTGCCCTGTCCCGACCCCTTCGGGTCCTGTTTCTTCAGGAGAGCGAGGCCCTTTACGTTCACCATGGACACGGGGATTCCTGCAAAAATACGAGAAAGGATTAGGCCGAAGGGTCTAACCGAAGGGACAAAGACATCCAAGCAAAAAAAAAACTAAGTACAATGAGTCTAAAGCCCTCGGCTCCTACCTCCGGAGGCTCCCTCAAACACTGGGAACTTCTCATCAGTTTCCCCCAGGATCCGGTACCGCCGGAACCCGAGGGTGTAGAGATCTGCTTCTTTGGTGCAGTCCTTGATGGAGATATTCTTGTCCCTGCCCTCCGGGATCATGGCCAGAATCCTGCCATCTTTCTCGAGGGCGGCGCTCCTCCTCTTCTCATGCCTCCTGAAGCGGTCACGCAGCTCCCTCGGGAAGGGACTCTCGGCTAGCTTCACATAGCACCACCGGTCCTTCCACCCCTTGTTCGAGGAGGGCACCTCAGTGAAGAGTTTGAACACGGACACCTGCTGCAAATTGGCGAATCCCTCGGCATTCGCGTGCCCCCCCCCCCCCCCCCCCGGCACAGGTTGAAGCTCTGGAAGAAGAGGTCCAGGCTAGGCGTCACCTCCCGGGACTTACAAAGCTGAAGGAAGCCGGTGATATAAGAATGGCTGTTCGGGGTCAGCTGGCAGGGGACCAAGCCAACAAACCTCAAATATTCCCGGAGGAATGGGTGCAGAGGGAACCTAAGTCCCATGGATACTGAAAGGACGTGCACCGCAATGCAGCCCTCGGGAGCCCGGGAGAGAACGTCATCCGGACCCGGTGTCACCACGATGGCCGAGGGGCCCACGTGAAGCTGAGTGACATAGATGTCTGCCGCATCAACCTTCGACTTGATCTCCAATGCGGCGGTGTTGAGATAGGAGTACCCCTCGGGCATATCGAGGGGCTTCCCTTGATCCGCTACGCTGCCCTTCTTCTTGGGAACAGCAGTCTTGGCCTTCTTCTTTCCGGGGCCACCCGGAGGGGGACCGCATTCAGCGGCCGAGAGGTGCTGGCCTCCCCGGCACCCCGAGGGGGGAGCACAGCAACGGTGACCCTCTCGCCTTCTCTTTGTGCCTCCTCTTCAGCTGCTTGCCAGGCGATGGCCATCTCTTCGTCCTCACATTCTTGCTCAAAGCCCTCGGCCTCCGCCTCAGCTACGAGGGCTTTCTGCAACTCCAGGGCAACGACGGCATCCTGTCCCACCGAGGACTCTGCACTTGAGGACTCCACATCCGAGAGGACTTCATCCTCCACCGAGGGCGCCCCCGAGATATTTTGAGAATCGCTCTGGGACGACATGCTGACTCTAGTTCGAAGGCTCTTGCACGCTAGCGTTTCTAAATTTTCTATCTCCTAACCTAAGGGCACAGTACAGCTATGCTAGAAGGAGAAAGGCAGGGAGCACTGACCTCGAAAGCTGAGTTAGGACCGAAGGCTGGAGTTTCTCTCACTAGATTTTTTGGCAGAGCTACACTAAAACAACTGATCGCACAAGAGGAAATGGCTCTGGCCTTGGGGTATTTATAGGCGCTGGAATCCGGGCTTGGGCCTGGGTTCCGGGCCTCCGGGTGGACGCCATCATTACTCACCGCGTCTTCGCCCAACCGGTGACGCCGCCCACGGACAGCCAGCCATCACACGCCACGTGTGCCCCCCCCCAACGGCTATATCCCGTCGTTACATATTCCAACGGCTATATTTCCAACGGCTATATTTTGGAAGCCCCCGGGTTTTCTACTTCACTCCACTTCATCAAGGATAGCCTCCGGGTGCACTCACCCAGAAGTGCCCCCGGGTTGTGCCCCACACAGCACATTACACACGCCTTCGGGATCACTCCTTCAGATCCCTAGGGCTGCATATCAGGGCACCCCTCGGGGTTTTCCCCTCAGCACTGCAAAACCGGGTAGCCCCCGGGGAGTGCCTCATTGACGGATGGCCCATGGCCCTCGGGTATCTTCATCACCAACTCATCAACAAACAGTGGACCCCCCGGTAACAGCTTCACTGCTGCCCTCATCTGGCAGGCCCTCGATCCCTGGATTGAGGGGCTCCCCTTCGGCGCCACCAGGACATCAACAGCAAGCCTCCGGCTAATCAACACAGGAGCCCTCAGAGGAGAGAGCCTTCGGCATTCCCGTCATTCTCCACTTTGTACCAAGGTTTGACATTTTCGATTCATCATTGGGGGAATTCGGTGCACTCTTTTTCCCTCATTAGGATTTTTTCCCAAAGGGTTTTTCCTAATGAGGTTTTTAACGAGGCATCCCCCCAAAATGAAACGAAAAGCGTCAGCCTTCGGCCCACAACAGCAACGTAACTACTCTACTCCTTTTCACCACTTTACAAGTGCCTCAAGAAGTGGGGGACTGGAGGACCCCTTCGGGAAAATCATTAAATTACAAAATCTGTGAAATTCCAACAAACAACAAAGTAAGCCCTCAAGTCCCGACATGTGGGTAACTGAGGGACTGCCTTCGGCAGGGACATAAAAGCAACAACTCCTCACCAGCTTCAGGAACCACGATGGGACAACATCAAAGGGCAAGCACAAGTTACTCCTTTTCCCTCAAGTACCTTTCGGCAAAAGGAGTGAGGGACTCCTGATGGAGTATATGGCCCGGGAACCCCCGGCCCACAGACTCCTACTGCTCCATCAAAGGCCCAACAGGCCCAACAGGCCCAAATCACAGCGCCCAGAGTACCAAGCAGTCCGCACAACGCACAGGGGTGCCTTCGGCCCCCTGGCCGAAGGCTCCAAATTATCACAGAGCGGGTTTCTCAAGCAAATTAGGAAACTGGGAGAAAACGGCGAAAACAGTAGCCCTCGGCACTGTGAGCCCTCGGCACCAGGGTGCCATCGGGTGGGAGAGCCCTCGGTTACTGCTCTATAGCCGAAGGCATCTCACTCGACAAGATATCTGCCTCACATGCATACAGATCACCGTACCCCGCACAGACGTCCCATCCAACAGCCGCATTAAATGCGGCCACATGCGGCTGCCAGCGCCAACCAATTGAGGTGACCCCTCGGCCAATGAGCGCTTGACACGTGTCCCTGCCCGGCATTTATTGCTACTATAAATAGCACCCCTTTTCCCCATTTGTAACCAAGTCATAACACGCTGAAAACACTCCGCATTTATAATACATTTTCTCTCTCTACTTTTACTTACTCGCTCTGACTTCTGTCTAAGTTACTCCCCGTAATAACCTTTCGGATATATACCCCCGGGTAGACTATCCATCATATGTAAGACTTATATGGAGACTATAATAACGTATTATGTAGTACTAAATATAAATGTATTGTGAGACTACGATGTATGTTTTTACTTGGACTGTAATTTGTTGGTCTGGTATGGTCTGATCTGAAATGATCTGGTCTGGTCTGATTTCTTTGTATTTGTATAATTATTCAAGTCTGGTCTGGTCTGAACTGATCTGATCTGGTCTGATCTGATCTGGTGTGGGAGGAATTACGGTCCAAGTAAAAACATCCTTATTACAAGTCAAATTAAAAGTTACCATACATGGTATTAATTACTGAAAAAAGTAAAAACGTAATAATAAGATTATAACGATGGAAATGGTGAGATTATAAAAAAAAAGTTGATGGAAATAGCGAGAGTGTAATTATAATATGGAGATGTACCCCATTAAAAATTGGTAACATCATGTTTGTGTAAATTGGTTAACTGTGTACAACAAAAATTAAAACAGATTGAGTTGTAATTTATGTTGATAAAGAAAAGTATAGAAAATAAGCACAATGTAATATTGATTAACTGTGTACAACGTAACAACATGCATTTTTTTATAGATTATAGTAGAAAAAAGTGTGAATATGAAAAAATATATTACAAAAAGTGTAGGAATATAAAAAATATTACAGAAAAATAGTATATGAATATGAAGTGCAATATACTTATTTTATTTAGATTAATAATTTTTTGTTATGAATTGACAAAGAATAAAAAACAGATTGAGTTGCAATTTATGTTCAAGATAAAGAAAAATAAAATTGCAATTAATTTTTTTGTATTTTGCCGGAGAAGAAGAAAATAATTGAAGAAAAAATAAATCAAGAGGACGAAGTCAATAAAAAGAAACGGAGAAAGTGAAAATACGTAATAGTGAGATCAGCATATCGTGTGCACGGTTTAATGATTTCACGTTGTAATTTGTGGTAAAAAAATACTCACTTTTGGACGTTAAAATAACATCCTCACCGTTGTCTAAAACGTTGTATGGGCCAATCTACTTTGTAATAACAATAATATATTTATAATAGCTATAATAGTAAATAATAATTTATGATCGATTGACGAGATTTCAACTCAGACATATTTGAAATTTTATGTTTTTATTTACTTGAGTGTAGACAAGGCTTTTTTTAAAATATTATTGAATTAAAATATGTTTACAAAAAGTATGACTACATTATTATGAGTGTAGTAGTATTATGGTAAGCCACTTTATTATTTCACACCAATCTCCCATCTTAGCTCCGCAAATATGTGATATACTGATAAGTATGTATTTACAAAACAAATTATTCCAATCATTTCAAAAAAAATCGAAGTAAGGATGTTTTTACTTGGATTGTAATTTGTTGGTCTGGTCTGGTCTGGTCTGAATTGGTCTGGTTTCTTTGTATTTTTATAACTATCCAAGTCTGGTCTGATCTGAACTGATTTGATCTGGTCTGGGAGAAATTACAGTCCAAGTAAAAACATCCTAAATTAAACTTCGGAAGTTTATACGGTTACACCGAAAAAATACCCTTTAAGACAAGTCGTGAGCTGATCAATCAATAACTTCTATTAAATCTATTAAAATAAGTCTTATATGTGGATAGATCTTAAAATATATACACTATTTTTAATAATATTCAATAATACAAAAGACATGAAGTGATAGATCTTGTTTGGGTAATTATATGATTTGCACGCAAATTTTAACGTGTGTAATACGTGTTTCATTAAGGATTCAAGTTTATGAATTTTAAAAGGAAAAAGAAAAGATTATTCTTAATTAAGAGTGTTGTATATATATATATATATATAGATGGAATAACATTAAAAAAATGAAGAACTATGGTGAATCCAGCAAGCTCAATCCCAGATGAAGATCTAAAGATTTACAAGGGTTGTTTAAACTTGGAGGCATATTAGCAGATGGCTTGTTCGAATTCATATGACCATTATCTCTAGATTTTGCTGATTGAATCTTCAAACCTTCTTCTACAAGGTATGTCTTTACTGGTAAGTGTGAACTCGGATGAATCTTTAAGAAACGGTTCCAAATACCTAATTTGGGAGCTAGAAGGATCAAGAACACATGAAGGTGAAGATGTTTGGGGGTCATAGTTGATGATATCATAACTATAGGGACCGATGTTGCAATATTTTGATGGTGGGAGATAGTATTTGAGCCTCTTCTTCCTCATCCTCTCCTTCTTGTGGGCATTTTGATGTCCTCCCAAGGCTTGGGAATTTCCAAACTCTTTACAACAATATTGGCATTCAAATTTCTTGTTTTCTAAGGATGGTTTAACCACAGTTACTCTCCTTTCAAATGATATTGTAGAAGATGGTGATGAATTATTCACACTACTATCATGATGATCTTCATGATGAGGATCGCCATTCGATCCAACGGCTATCTCGACTCCTCCCGACGTGCAGTCGAGCTCGACCCCGAACAACTTGAGCTTCTTCCCCATCATCTCGGATCTATCATCTCCATTCTTCCATTGAGATGGAAGAGGCCTAGAAATATCACTAATCATGTTTAATGCTAATAAATTATGATACTCCCATCCTTAATATATATATACACCTCATACACCTCTTTCTTAAATAATAATTGTACTACTCCCCAGTCACAATTATTGGTAGTCATAATCATGTTTCCAATATCAAAAGTTGATGATAATTGTTTAACTAATGTAAAAAAGGAATGTTTAGCACTGATAATTATTTTATTGTCATTCATGACGAATTATAATGTGCGAAAAGTCAAAATGCCAACATAAGAGAAAATACAGGCATGCAATAATGTTGTTTTATATGATTGTTAAAGTAGATTCACCAAACATTTCACACTAAAATGGATTCATTTGTGATTTGTACGAAGTATTAAGTAAATAAAGTGCTTTTTTATTTAATGATGATCTGGCACAATTTTTAATTTTAATTTCAACATTATAAAAACACGCAAGTACATCCACTTGGTCACAAGAAAACAAATAATTACGTACTTATATATGAACAGATTAGGCAATTTAATATTTATCATATTACGGATCTGGAGTAATCAACAAGTAGATATCAACTACTAGTATATACTACCTCCGTTCTTAAATAAATGCAACACTTTGACTTTTACACTATTCACATGTTCTACTTTGACTACGTTTTATTTATTAATGTAATAATATTATTTTATGAAAAAATTATTGTTAAACTTGTCTCATTGTAAATTTTCATAATCTAATTTTTTTAATTTTTTTACTAATACAAAATCATTTATATTAATGGTCAAAGTTGTGTCTCGGCAAGTGTGAAATGTTGACTGTTGCATTTATTTAAGAACGGAGGAAGTATATATATATATATAAATTGACGTGTGACTACCCCCTGTCGTTTAAGAAAGTTGTTTTAAATAAGTGATTAACTAATGTCCTAAGATAGCTAGCTATTTTTATATTGTTCGATAAAGCTTTCAATTTTGGTGATGTCAAGTCTTCATATACTACGTATTAACATATATGAATATTATTAAAAATTGATAAGAAATCAGATGTGTTAAATTATTATACTTAAATTAGCTGTTTTGGGAATACGACTATTACATTATTTTATGAGGTTTTATTAAATATATATACTTTTCGAAACCGTCAATTATGAAATAACATACGTGGATGACGTCTTGAAAGCTAAAATAAATAAATAAATGGTGATTAAGTTGATGAGTATTGATAGATATTTAAGATGATTATTGATAGATATCATCTATTATAAGTTATAGCATGTAAAAACTTTAAGATAATTATTGATTAGCTAGCCACCTATGTATAATATTTCTATTTCTATACCCCTATTAAAATTAGTTTTTTCTCAATAATAAAAGATTAAAAGTCTGTTCAATTGGTGACTTTTTTTTGGCTTATTAGCTCTCTCAACCAATTTTTTCACAAAACATCGTATGTTTTGATTCAATGAGCTGAATAAGTAAGTTTGAAGTTACTTTTTCGACTGAATTGATTAAAGTTACCGTATATGATCACTTTAGCTATTTTCATATAATTTTTTCTTTATGTTATTAATAAAATGTCTTTTAAATATAATTTTTTATAAATCGTCAGAATCAGCCAATTCAACCATTTCAATCAGAACTTTATAAATTTCAGCGGAGTCAGTCGATCAGCCAATTTGAGTGTTTGAACCCTCTCTAAATGGGGTGGATAGGTGCATTGTCCGATCAAGTCACTGCAAGAATTTTACTTTTTAATAGCATTGCCTTCATATATCAAATGTTATGACGTGTGGAACTCCTGGGTGGGAGATTCCACCTTTTGGAACAATCAAATGTTATGATGACCTGAATTAATTTAACCATTGATGATTAATATTTAATAATATTCCAGGTAATTAGTATGTAAACATTATGATAGTAAATTGGTGTAGATCGAAAAAGCAAAAGAAACAGAATAAAATAGCTAGGACTAGGAGTAAAAATTGATAAAGTTCACATAGAGTAGTCGGAATGTGTCATTCTAAACGGGGTAAGGGTCATATTGGTCCTGGAAGTTACATAAAAAGGTCAAATAATTAAGTCCTTATATAGGAGTCTGTGTCCGGCCGTCGCTATTCGCGGCGGTTCCCGGTGGAATTTTTTTATGAAAGTTTTTGAGCATCTTATTCATTAAGTCAAGTTTACTCATACCAAATTTCAGCTAAAACTTCAATCGGGAAGGCATTCAAATGAAGTCTTGAAGGTAACTGCGCAGTTACCTTCAAGAATTCATTTGAATGCCTTCTGGATTGAAGTTTTAGCTGAAATTTGATATGAGTAAACTAGACTTAATAAATAAGATGCTCAAAAACTTTCATCAAAAAATTCTATCGGGAACCTCCCCAAATGGCGACGGCCGGACAATAAGAACTTATTTGACCCTTTTTATGCAATTTCGAGGACCAATCTGACCCTTACCTCCATTCTACTCTGAAGATTTATTTACTCCTTATGAAGAATAAAAACCATTATAAAGTCGTTCTTATTTTAATAGTAAATGAAAGTATGAAACTTGCTTTGCTTGGGAAGGATGCACGATAGTACGTCATATGTGATAAATGGTGCTGTAAGAGCCGCGTTCGTCGACTTAGTCACCGTGATTTACATCCTCCCACGTGCCCTGTCGGGTCGGAATGTGGGTGCTCCGGGGGTGAGAGATTCCACCTTTTGGATCAAGAGGTGGGTAAAATTACTGAAAAGTCGGCATACCTCACTTATCGTACCGAAAAGTACCGGAAAATATCGGAATATAGGTATACCGTCATTTTTGGTACGGTATCATATCGTACTGCTTTATTTCGGTACGGTAACGGTAAATGTTTTCAAATACCGCAGTATACTGGTATAATACCGTAGCGACTCCCAACCCAACAATTACTTTTAATTTTAAAATATTGAAAAAATCCATTACAATTTTGAAGCCCAAAATTAATACTTAGGTTGGTTACAAATACCAAAATACAAATATAAATTTCCAATTTCCCAAACACACTATAACCTTCTAGGTTTCTACTACGTAACATTCAAACAAAAATGACTAATGAGTAATGTGCTAATGTCCAGAAACAAGTTCATCTTGTTCCAAGAGCTTGCGAGTCGTGATGGCTGAGCCGCTGAGTAGCCAACAAGTGAAGAGGGATACACTTATGTGATGAGTGTATCTACATAAGCCATAAGGATTCCGAGAGTCGAGCCACACAACTTTGTCCGAAAGTCTTATTCAATTTTTTTTAATTATAAAAAGATAATTACTAAATACAAAATATCATATTAGGAATAAATGATTTTATATCCATGTTGTTTGAATAATTTTACTTATTTTTCTTAGAGATCACTATTGATTTAATTATATCTATATTACTCAAATACGCCCTTGTACCGGTTGTGTAAGCTCAACTCAGTCCTGAACTAAAAAAGGTTCTATTCGCACCCTGAACCGAAAAAAAATGGTTCAAATTTAATTTTCACAGGTAAACGATCGGTCATTTTTTAAATTTTAATTTTTTTTTGTTTTTTATTTCCAATATTGAATTGACATCAATAGATTTGTAACACGAGAAATACTAGCTTATTTCCAAATTTATTTTCAATAATTTTTTTTTGTTTTTAAATTTTGTAACACTTCAATATTTTTCCAGTAGTATTTTGTAACACTTTAATAATAGATTAAATATGTCGCTAGTCACAACGATTTAGTATATTTCGTTAGTCTGTGATTATTTGTTGTATTGAGAGACATGCACAGTAATTTACCGATACCGAACCGTTACCAAACCGAAACTTCGGTATACCGAAATGCGGTATACCGAAACTTCGGTATACCGAAATGGGGTATACCGAAACTTCAGTAAGGTAACGGTATATAAATTTTGTATACCGAAAGTTTTCGTACAACAAAGGTATGAAAGAAAATATTCGTTATACCGTACCGAACCACTCATAGGGTTTTTTTACTCTAGGGGGCGCTGGGGGAGGGGGGTTGGGGGCCTGGAGTAATCAAGGTTGAAACTCACTCTATGGAGTTTCAAACCCTTACGTGCCTAGCAGGTTTTGAACTCGAAACCTCCCACTAAGCACGATAACCTCTCACCGAACCACCCATAGGTATATCTATGTGAATTCTCAATCTTGTATCAACCATATGGAAATGGTTGTTTTCTTCTAGATTTTGTGTCAACAATCAAATGTCTTTCTGTTTGAAGCAGATTTATGTAACCTATTATTTGTATCAATTATTTATCCATCACTAAATTTTCCTTATATAGTTTAAATGTCTCAAAGTTTCTTGAATTTATGCAGAGTTTAGTTGAATTTAGTAGTTCGTTGTATTATATAGAGCGCATTTGGTGATACTGAAATTGGCGGAATGGATTGAATCAACTGAAATTTATAAAGTTTTGACTAAAATGATTGGATTGGTTAATTCTGTTGATTTATAATAAAAAAGAATATTACATATTTATATAATCTCTCTGTGTAGCTAGGACAGGATTGACTCATCTTTAATTTGGTTTATCTCATTCAGATTGTCTAGACTAATTTAGGGATGGATTGGGACGAGACTCGGCCGGGCTTCAGGACAGGACTAGGCGGGCTTCGGGCTTAAGGATTTCAGGGGCGATACCGACCCGGGTTTGTACCGGGATCGGGTAGGGCCGAGCCTAAACAGTACCAAGTTGTGCCAGATCAGGCCCAAAAATCAAGCCTGAAACCCGCCTCTTATAGCCACCGGTCCGGGCCTGGATCGAGCCTAAACAGTACAAGGCCCGAGTTGGACCGACCTGTCCGAGTCCATCTCTAGACTAAATGGCCATTTCTACTCTTTTTGCCACATTTTTCAATCTAGACTACAGAAGATTTAACGGTCTGCAAATAGAATATAAAAATACCGTTGTGTTTATATGGCAAATATTTTCCCCTCCTAATTTACTCGGACTCACCTATCATATTTTTTAAATCGACAATAAATACTACGATTATATAAATAAGTGCATCTGAATAACTAAAAGAAAGAGTTCTGATTGAAGCTGAAAAGGTACGTAAAGCTTTAATTTAATTCAAAAATTTACTATTAAACCTCTGAAGTTATGTCATAATTATTAATGCAACCTTGCATTTTCATAAATCAATTACTTACCACCCTGAGTTTGGATCATTTACTCACGTTAATATTTGTTAAATTTAAATTTAATTTAATTCTTAAATTCAATGAAAAATGTCAATAAAATCAATTTTTAATATAAACACAAATTAGTATCATAATAACAAGTCATTGTTGTTGATCGTAGTTAAATAAATTAAAATCTATGATATTTTAGGTCTTAGATTGATAGCTTTCAATTATTTAGATCATGGAATAATTGGAATAATCATCACACATTTTGTCTTTTAGGTCGTTGTTGATACTAAACCTATATTTTAGGTCATGGAATGAAAAAAAAAATCTTGGTATTTCTTCTTTGCTACACACGAAAGAAATGTCATTATGATTAATTCAACCGAAAGAATTACAAATAAGACTTGTATATTCATAATGAAGAAGTGCCTGAATTTTGATGACACATTTTATAAATAATTCTTTTTATGTATCCCATGAATGTGACTTATGAGTCTTCTCCTTAACTACTCTCATTAATTGTTATTCCACAAGTAGTTAAGTAGAAAAACAAATTATCATCAACAATGACTTATAATTATGATGATAAACTGTTTTATATTTTAAGAATTAATTTTAATTACAACTTTCATTGAATTTAAGAGGTATATTAAATTTAATTTAACAAATATTAACCTCAAGGGGTATATAGCGGAGTGCGTATACCGTGCAACCGGTGCATAGGGATGGACTAAACCGGGCCGGGCCGACCCAGAACCGGCCCGGGTTACTGTTTGGGCCCGGACCGGACCAGGACCGGTTGGCCGGTTCCGAGCTTTTAGCCCGTTTGGGCGGGTCGGACTCGGGCCCAACTTTTGGTGAACCGGCCCGGGCGGTTTGGGCCGGGCCCGGTTCAATTTTTTTTCTTGTTTTTTCAATTTTTTTTGCTTTTCTAGGTTAGGGTTGGGTGTTTTGCGGGGGTTTGGGGGGTGGGGGTGAAGGGGGGGGGGGGGTCGGGTGTTAATTAGAAACCAAAAAAAAATTGAACTTGACCCGGGCCCGGCCCGGTTAGGCCCGGACCCGGTATCAACCCGGGCCGGTTCCGGGCCCAACATTTTGCCAAAAAAGCCCGCCCGGGCCCAGCCCGGAACCGGAACCGGACCGGCCCGGGTCCATCCCTACCGGTGCATGGTGAGCACCATCCACCCATTGTGTACTACCTCCGTCCCGAATTGAATTGCAAACTTTGACCGACACAAGGATTAAATGACAATAAATGATGCTTGTTTTTTACACTTTTGCCCATCTTTCTAAAAGTAGATGTTTTTAAGTTAATGAGGAAAAAGTAAAAGTAAGGGTAATTTTGTCACTCTATTCTTATTTACATACCTAAAATAGAAAGTGGAAAACCATTTTGGGACAACCAAAAAAGGAAATTTTGTAAATCAAATTGGGACGGAGGGAGTATTATTTTTTCTCTTTTTTAAAAAAATGGTAATAACTTTTTTATTTTTGATCCGATTTTTATAAAATTTATATCAACATTTTTTATTTTTCTTGATCTTTGAAATGAGACCAATATTGTCTATGTAATTTTAACATATTATCAAACTATTATATTAACCTATGTAAAATATGTAATTTTATGTGTAGAAATATGTAACTCACGTCCAGTCAGGCCAAATGAAACTCGTGTGTATAAATATATAACTCTACGTGTAAAAAATTGTAACTTTACGTGTAAAAATATGTAACTCGCGTTCAGACAGGTCAAATACAACTCGTGTGTATAAATATGTAACTCACGTGTATAATATGTAACTTTACGTGTAAAAATATGTAACTCGCGTTCAGACAGGTCAAATACAACTCGTGTGTATAAATATGTAACTCGCGTGTATAAATATGTAACTTAACGTGTAAAAATATGTAACCTCACGTGTAAAAATATGTAACTCGCGTGTATAAATATGTAATTTTACGTGTAAAAATATGTAACTTTACGTGTAAAAATATGTAACTCACGTTCAGGCAGACCAAATGCAACTCATGTGTATAAATATGTAACTTTATGTGTACAAATATGTAACTTTACGTATACAAATATGTAACTCACATGTATAAATACATAATAAAATAAATTTTTTATATACACAATTTTAAGATAAATTGTGATTTACACAATTATTTTTCTGTAATAAATTTAGTTCGATTTTCCTTATAATCCAATACTCATTAATATAGTAGTTCAATAATTTCTTGAAATTACATAAGCAATATTGGTCTCATTTGAAAGATCATGAAAAATAAAAATGTTGATATAAATTTTATAAAAATCGGATCAAAAATAAAAAAAAAAATATTAGCATTTTTTAAAACAAAAGTAAAAAAGAAAAAAAGAAATCCGTATACCGGTATACGATGCTCACCGTATACCGGTCATACGGTATAATTTGCCTATATAGTGACAATGATCCGAACTTAGAGGATAACTAATTGATTTTTGAAAATGTAAGATTGCATTAATAATTATGATATGACTTCAGGGAGCTAATAATAATTTTTCCTTTCATTTAATGCATGGAATTTAAAAGCTTAAAAACAGTGAATGAATAACAATCGAAAATTTAACAAGATAAAAGATAGTACGAATTAGTAGATAACTTTTAATATTTGTAATTTATTCAATTAATATCAAGTGTTTATTTTAGACATAGATATTATTATCATGTATGACTTCTAGAATAAATCACATATTTTAACTATTAAACAATAAACAATTATTAATTAAATAATTAAAACCCTTTAATATCAAAAAAGACTACGAAAGTTCTGGTTTAAAACCAAATAGACAACTAATAAAACAATTAAATTATCTATTCTTTTCTCCAAAAGAGCCGGAAATAATAGTCATGACATATAAAGCCAATAGACAACTAACAAGAGAGTATACAAAATAGCTCTTTCAATCCACTAGAACATCTATCATTATGAAATTGGTCTAAGATTAACGCACAGAATCAAGCGAATGAGAACAATAGATGAAATTCTATCAATTTGACATAACTAAAATCACAATTTCATACGATCCCTCTTAGGGGTGGACTCGGGCCGGGCCAACCAGCCCGGAACCGGACCGGCCCGCTACTGTGCGGGCCCGGACCGGCCCGGTGAACCGGTTGGTTGGCAGGTTCGGGCCACCCGGCCCGGTGGGATGTCGGTTCGGGCCCTTCAAAAAGTGAACCGGCTCGGTCGGTTCAGGCCCGGGCCGGGCCAAAAAAAAAAATTTTGAATTTTTTTTAAGTTTTTGGGTTGGGCTGGGTATTTTGGGCCATTTGAGGTGGTTAGGGTTGGTTTGGGGGTGAGGGGGAGGGTTGGGGGTTAACTAGGAAAAGCCAAAAAAAAATAGAACCGAGGCCCGACCTGACTCGGACCTGGGGGTTACCCGGGCCAGTTCCGGGCCTCCCCTTCCTGAACCGAGGCCCGACCGGGCCCGAATCGGAACCGGTCAATCCCTAATCCCTCTAGATCCCATTTCTAATAATCTCTGAAGAGAGGGCAAGTAGTGTTGTGATTCTGCTACTGAAGTGGGACAAAGATTGCTGAGAAGAATGACAGTGGCTCTGGATGAGGTTTCTTGCCGTTCACTCAGATGAAAGCAAAGTGTATGACAACAAAAAGAGCGACGGAATTCGTGACGAGGCGTGCGGACCGGTAGGGTGGATTTCAAATCAGAAGGGTGAGGCAAAGAGAATTGGTGGAATTGGATTAGTGTTTTTTTTCATACCAATTCCATTAAAATCAATTGAAATCCAAGAGAAACAAACCCATGGAGTAATTGAGGACACCTAGATTTTAAAGGAGTTTTGAAAATCCAAGTTGAAGACACCCGGATTTTGATGGAATTCTAAATTTCTTTAAAATCCGTAAGAATCCATATTGGGACACCCCCTAAATCATATCCACTCCATCATACTCCTGGATTTGAGAAAAATTACTACACATTAAAACTAACGTTGATTAAGACAGTAAGAATAAAAAGGGGATTTTTTCAAACCATTTTAATAAACGAAAATCAATTGTGTCCTGGACACCTTAAGTAAACACTCTGTAAAGCCAAAAAATGAAACTGGAGGAGTAACTGCAGTGATAGTGAGCTAAAGTGTGAAGATTAGATCAAACTAACTTCTGCAGCAGAATGAATTTTCCAGAACAATTCAGCCATTGCAGAGCAGAAGCTCCCAAGTCGTTGTTCCCACTTCCCAGCCTCTGTACGAAGCTCCCCTTTTCTGCTCCACCTCTTTAGCAGCACCTCACTATTCAGAACCGCCAATTTTCCTACTCTTGCTATTTTTATAGCCGAGCAAAGGGGAACCGTTTTCCCCTCTCTTTTTCAGCCGCTGGACTCATTGCCTTCTTCACATTGTACGCCTAATTCTCTCAACTTTCGGTTCTGTTTAGGAGTCGCAGAAGAAGATGTCACGTAAACATTAGCCGATCAAATTCCTCTCTAGACTAGGCATGGACCGGTTCCGGTTCGGACCCGGTTCGGGCCTGGGCCCGGCCGGGCCTCGGTTCAAGAAGGGGAGGCCCAGAACCGGCCCGAGTAACCCCCGGGTCCGGGCCGGGCCGGGCCTCGATTCTTTTTTTTTTTTTTTGGCTTTTCCTAGTTAACCCCCAACCCTCCCCTCACCCCCAAACCAACCCTAACCACCTCAAATGGCCCAAAATACCCAACCCAACCCAAAAACATAAAAAAAAATCAAAAAAAAAATGACCCGGCCCGAACCGGTCGGGCCGGTTCACCTTTTGAAGGGCCCGAGCCCGCACCGCCATCCCACCGGGCCCGAAACCGGTTCACCGGGCCGGTCCGGACCCGAAACCGGTTCACCCGAGTCCACCCCTACTCTAGAGTCTAGACAAGCTTAAGCCTCTCTTGAGCTACAACATGAAGCGCACCCATCCCAGCTGATTTGAGGAAGTTTCAGCAACACGCTGAGGCTACAAGAAAAAGACCTCAATGGATGGAAAGCGGAAGGTGGGAGTGGAGGGAGAACGACAATAGGAAAGGGGCAAGATTTGTCCAACACTCCAAAACACTCCAATTTGGGACGTTAAAAAGTCAATTGTTTCGTTTGCAAAAAAGAAAGTCACTTATTGAGGTGTGAGTGAGGTGTTGCTGAGGCTACAAGAAAAAGACCTCAGTAGATAAAAAGCGGAAGGCAGGAGTGGAGGGAGAACGACAATAGGAAAGGAGCAAGATTTCTCCAACACTCCAAAACACTCCAATTTGGGGTGTTAAAAAGTCACTTGTTCATTTGCAAAAAAGAAAGTCGCTTATTGAGGTGTGAGTGAGGTGTCCTCTAACAATTTTAAACACTTACTAACACTCCATTTAAAAAAAACACTCAAACAAGTGTTAAACCCAACACCCTTCAACACTTACATTACTAACACCTCTTAACACTCCATCCAAACAGGCCGTAAAACATATAGTTCAAGGGTGGTCACTGGTCAGAAGCCACCAAATTGGAGTTGAGTAAAATATGCAAGTAAAAGGGCCAAATATAGTTTTGTTTCTATAGGAAAAGACTCATAACTGTAAGCAAGTTCACCTGATCATTTCGCAATACAACATTATGCTCCCACCAACACTAATTTGTTGTCACTGTGTGATTGTGTTGCATATCATTAGAAGCCGCGAGTTGAAAGTTACTCCTGGAGAAAATACTGACACCCCAAATGCCAGTCACACAATTATACAACACTACAGATTGACAGATGGCAGAGTGCCTAGACAGCCACTACTCTCCATTTGAAGAATAATTTGAAGAATGAGTTTCTTATGCAAAGAACTGCAGAATGATCTCTCGCTCCAGTTCTGACGGGAGGTGCAAGATGATGACGTTGTCATGCATATGTTACCCTTCACCGGTTCCCAACTACTGACCTGCACTTGATCCAAAAAATGCTGTGAATATTACTGTGAATATTTCTTGGAAAGGAATGAACTGACATCCTGCAGTATCAAGAAATGTTCAAAAGATCTAATATGTTCTTTGTCTGCCTATAATTTTTTTTTGTTTCAAGAACTTGTAATTTTTTCCATCCTCGTAATTTACCAATTTCTTAGTCCCAACCTCCTGCTTTAAAAACTGACAAGTTAAAAGGCTTTTTTAGTCACAACCTCCAACTTTTTGTGGAGAAAATCTGTGAGAAAGCGAAACTGAGCCAATGCAAAAGCACTAGCCGTCACAGCTTGCATTCCTTCTTGCCCACTCATTCCAACACCAACATGAACAGCTTGAATAATGCTTATATCATTAGCACCATCTCTGATGCTAAGTGTTATTCTCATAGCTCCCTTCCTAACCAAGCTAGTTACCTACAACTATTCTGTGTGTGAAATCAAGGTTCGAAATTGCATATTGCACAGTCATGGCGTTCAAGGACTTCAAAAACAATCTCACCTTCCCCTGTATTATTATTATTATTATTATTAAAATCATTATTAAAGCCATAGCCCGAGGAGACATTCACTTGTACCTCAACATAAGCACAGGTGCTTGTCCTGATTTGGCAGAAGTTAGAGGCAGCCAAATGTTCATTAACTATTCTAACAGAGCAAAAAAAAGGTGAAGCCATTAGTTGCTAAGTACATTTCTAAAGCAGAATTATACATACCAAGAGAAGCAGGTGCTCAGTCTATGAATACACGTGTGACCCAATCTAATTGCTTCCTTCTCTTCATTTTGTAAATGAATACATGGAATGTTTTCTGGAATAGGTTTTTCCTTCATAAAAACAAAACATAACGCCATAATATAATTTTAATTACTAGTATAGGTGTGCATGAATAATAACAATCCATAAATAGCATTGTAGTATTTGCAAGGTTCGAAATTGCGTATTGCGTAGTCGTGGCGTTTTTTTAAATATTGCATATTGTGAAAGCCTCATTGCGCAACAAGGAGTATGCCTGAGGCGTTATATATATATATATATATATATATATATATATATATATATATATATATATATATATATAAACATAATAAAAAATAAACATATTTGTCAAACGTCGTCAAATGTTATATTAAAACAAACCATAAGAGGCCATAGTCCTAACAAAGTAGTATGTTCAAACTTCAAAGTACCACAGAATACCAAAACTTTATGAATCGTTTATAAAAAAAATCTAAGATATAAGAATTTAAATTAATTAGATTGATCGACTGAAAAAATCTAATCAATAACTAGTGGCTTGAAATAGGGATCATAACATCAATTACAAAAATTTAAAAGTTGGCCAGGTGGGCCCAAATAATACCTTTACACCCTGACCTTCTCCTGTTGCGTACGCCTCAGAGCGCTTTATTGCGTATGCAATATTGCGTACGCCTCAGTGCAATATTGCGTACGCCACACTCCCAACGCCATATGCAATGCCTTTTACGCCATAGTCTAGAAATTAGCTGAGGCGCAACCATGAGGCGCAATTGCATTGCGCAATTACAAACAATGAGTATTTGATGTAATGTCAATATCATCACATTAGTGCAGTCATATAAAAGTAGGAACTATTTTCCCGTGTATCAAAAAATGAAAGTAGGAACTCCTATCAACTGCGTACCTCAAATTTTAAGTTGTTCATCACAATTTAGAGAGTAATGAACAACCTCATGATTAGTTCTAAATAAGAAACCTGCAAAATAGAAAAGATTACCCGAACCCATCTGAACATGTAAGAACATATGATCTCCCAAAAAAGAACTACATTTACTCATTTCAGCAAGGCAGAGAGTGCAGCTCTTAGGTCTCTAACTTTTAAATCAAAATATCCTCAAAATCAAAACACTTTTTTTTTTATAAATATGTTTTAGCAATTAGCATCTTGATTAAATAATTTAATACCCCGCTAAACGTTCCCCATAAGTATACATGACCGGTTTCATGTGAGTTCAGTTATACACATACTAAATGGAGTAGCTATTAGGCATCTCAATTGTTGACCCTACGGGCAACCCAATCTATATATGACTGCATTTTCAATAAGTGCAGCTTCACTCCTCCCCGTTCTCCACCTTGTTATCTTCATAGTTGTGCAACTGATGGACGTGAACTGAAAATAGAGTTGAGAAGGGCAGCCAAACGGACCCCGCTTTGAGATAATCTCTTTTCCACAACAGGCATCCTTGAGAGAAAATATTCATCTGCCAAAGTGCTCCCTGGTGTGGCATTTCTGTAGGCAAATTTGCAGGCTAAACTAATACTTTCTGAGGCATATGGGTCTGGACAGACGAACTCATTGCAACTTTCCAGCAAATGAACATCAACAGGCCATTCATTCGTGATATTATTTTGAAGAGCTAGAATCATCAGTGTAAGATTAGAGTCATAGAAGTTCTTCACCGCAGTTTCAATCATATTAGTATCCCATACATGGTGCAAATTAGTCTTCCTCCGGTACCAGCGGACAATTATTGAGTTTCCCCCTTCATCTCCAAGGAACCCTACGTGAAGAGGCTGATGGACATCACCAACAAAATGTGATAAGAACATGAGTGCTTCTGTCAAATTGTAATTTGTTTTTGAGTTTGAATTATTGTAACCCAAAAGCTGCTCAGTATAGTTGTGAATTGCTGCAGTAACACACCTCCCCTTATGCCCCTTAGTGTCATGGCAATCCCTGGAAAATTTGTAGTTGCATAAAAAATCAGGTGTGTCAACATAATGTAGACTCTTGCTCCAACCGTAGTGTGCATGATAACGAACTAGATCTGCCCAATCGCAAACATTAGCAAGTTCTCCTTTAGCTTCATCAGGGAGCAAGTCTTTTACCACTTCGAGAGCCTCTTCAGTTAGATATTCCTGGGCGATTTTACAAATAGCAAAGTGTCCTTCTTTTCCCCAAGCATTAGTGATTGGGGCCATCAGCAAAAGAACAGCAGCGCACATTATCCACAACACATCTGACACCGCCATCTCTTCTGAGTTCTAGCACCACCCCCTGTGGCCAGTACTACTTCGTGACTTTCCAAAATCCTCAAAATCAAAAACACAATCCAGACACTTTTCTTATATAAATAATACTACCTCTGTCCCGAAAAGGTTCGACATATTGACTTTTCTTGGTCATTGATGGCGAGGTTTGGACAATGATTTTAGTTATTATATTTGCATATAATTTATAAATTTTATACTTTTATGAAAATATTTTGAATAAAGAACATTTTGATATAATTTTCATACTCTAAATAATTTCGTACTAAAAAATATCATTAGTCAAAGTTGAGTGCCATTGATCAAGAAAAGTCAATTTGGCGAACCTTTTCGGAATGGAGGGAGTACCAAATTAATATATAATATTTCATAGAATGCATATATGAAGTGTCATGTTCAATAATCAAATAGCAATTCTTCACTTCAATCCCTTAGTCATCAATCGCAGATAGCTTTCTCCGGTGAACCTTTTGTCAGGGATTAATCAGTGACAAATCCATGATAAAGCTTTGTCAGTAATTCTTGTCTGTGACAAAGGTTTGTCACGCCTAAACTGTCACGGAAAAAATCTGTCCGTGACAAAGGTTTGTCACGCCTAAACTGTCATGGAAAAAATCGGTGACAAAGCTTTTTGTCACAGATATTTTTAACTATGGTGCGTGATAAAATCCGTGACAAACTCTCTATTGTTCTGTAGTGATGTATGTAAATGATACTACGTATATTATAATGTTATAACTTTATCTTACAAATTACATTATGATTTGACATTAATTTTCATTCTAATTTATTTAGATATTAAATCTGAAAATTTATAACTTTTATTTTGTCTAATAAGTATGTTGATTTACACATACATGCACTAACTTAGCACATTTTGACATTTCGTTAGTTAAATGTCAAAATATATAAACAGAAGGACTACATTAATATGGATAATGGATTAAATAGATTAGGGGGTCAAATGCATAAATAGTACCTAACCTTAAGTTGTTGCGGTTTGGTACTTTAACTCTTAAATGATTCAAAATGGCACCTTAACTATACATAAATTTTTCAAATTGAAATTCTATTCAAATTTGCGGTCAAAAAATGACATGTGGCACCAAGATTCTATGCTTAAAGTCTACTTCACCTTATTTTTTTCCATATGATCACTATAGGGCGAATATACACATGAAATTTTGATCGCCATAAAAGATTTTTTGGGCAGCAAATTTGAACAAAATCTCATGTTGAAACATTTATGTATAGTTATGGTACTGATTTGATTCCTTTAAGAGTTAAGGTACCAAACAGCAACAATACCGATAATTAAGGTACCATTTATGCATTTGGTCCTAGATTAGGGGCTAATATGATAGATTTATTAGTTCGAGAACCAAAACGATATGGTGATGATAGTTTAGGGACTGTTTATGCATTTTACTCTAAAAATAAATTGTTGTACACATATGGCTTTTAGATGATAGTATTTTGAAGGTTTCGTCAATTTGAACGGTTAAAACGACAAAAGTATTGGATTGATACAAACTAAATAGAATAAGGACTAAAATGATAGATTTGTTAATTTAGGGACCAAATTGATTTTGTAATGATAGTTAAGACCATTTGTGCATTTTACTCATAAAATAATTAGTAGAAAGAAAGAAATAGTTCAAAATGAGAAGAAACAAAGGTGGAAAAGGATGAAGGAGAAGGGGGATGAAGAGTATAAGAAAAAATTGGCCAGCGATTAGGCATGGACCGGTTCCAGACAGGTCGGGATCCGGGCCGGTCCAAACCGGGCCTTTTTGTTGTGGGTTAAGGCCCGAAACCGGCCAGGGATTCTATCGGGCCCGGGCCGGGTACCTTTTTTTTATTTTCTAATTACTTCCTACCCCCCACCCCAAACCCCTCCAAAACACCCAACCCAACTCATTTACCTCCCAAAGAATTTGAAAAACAAAAAAATGGCCCACGCCGGTACCAAAGAACCCCAAACCCGTGACCCGGCCGAAAAACCCCCCGGTTCGGGCCCTAGGCCCGGGCTCGGTCCCGGGCAACCGGGTCGGACCGGTCCCGCACAGTGGCGGGCCGGTCCGGTTCCCGGGGCGGTTAGACCCGGCCCAATCCACCCCTACCAGCAATGTGGAGAGAAAATCATCGCCCGACTCTGAAGTCTTCACACGTACGCCGTTTTCTCTTTTGATTTTTTTCCTTTAGTTTAAACTTCTCCTAAAAAAACATTTTAGCTCAATTTTTTTTCAGCTCAAATTTTAATTATCATGGAGTATGAAGTGAACCAGTTTCCTTTCACCCGTGATAATAGATCATTCGTTTTCTCAAAACCACAATTATTAAGATAATAATTTAATCCTCTTTAAATTCATATAGGGTTATGGTTTTTATTGATTTTTAGTAAACTATATATGCTGTAATGTTGAACTCTTGACTATTTTATTTTATTAATAGGTTTATGATGTAAATCATTGAAATTTTAGTGCTATTGTATTTCATTTGTATGCAAAAGTAAGAAATAAAAAATCTAATTTCTATTAAACATAAAAGCACATAACATAAAAGCTTCTAAAATCTGGAATCGGTTCAATCATACATTTTAGCAAACACGTAACGGGCATACAAATGAAATTAAATAGTACTAAAATTTCAATGGGTTCACCATAAACTTATATCAATGAAATAAAATAGTCAAGAATTCAACATCATAGCATATAAATTCACAAAAATTCAAAAAAATGATAACACTATATGGACACAAAAAAGAGTAAATTATTACCCTAGTAAGTATGGTTTTGAGAAAAAGAATGATCTGTCATCACGGTTAAAATGAAGCTGGTTCACTCCATACTCCATGGGAATTGAAATTTGAGCTGAAACTGTTTTTAAAAGAAGCCTAAATTAAAGAATACAAACTACAGAGAAAAGGGCATGCGTGAGAAGAAAGAGGAAAGAGAGGGGAGTGAGGATGAGAGAAAAGGGAACGAGCGGCCGCATGTGTGTTTTCAGCTAAGGGGCGAAGAGTGTAATTTCTCTTTTGGGGTATATATAGTTTGTAATTGGTGTGTACAAAGACCAAAACTGTATAAACATCCACCTCTTTCAGCTTCTCTACGAATTGGCGTATCTCTTTGTCACTATTTAATCTGCCACCTCCACCTGAGATTAATTGTCTATTCTTACTGTTTGTTACTTAAGCTGCCACCCAAAACTGTTTCTTTCAGTTGATATCTACCCCAACGTGTTGGCCAGAAACTCCGGGCTACAGTTGCCCCATTCCCTTTGGCCCTATCTACGAGTCACGCACGTCAAGAGACGACGTCGTTCTAGCACTCTAGGCGGTGAAAGATACAAGTTGAAAGATGAGCATCAAGGACAGTAAATGATGCCAACAATGTCTACCGTACTAGATATCCCTCTTACACTAACCGAACAAAAAGATTACACGACAGATTTTTAACCGGGCAACTATGAGCAGATTAGGGTCGAACAGCGAATAGATCTGAAATCTGAAAATAGAGAAAGAAATTATATAACAAACCAGATAGGCCAGTAATGGGTGCGCGAGATCGACTGTGAGCTGATTTGCTGACCAGCAGGCGGGACGGTGTATGTAACCAGATGCGAGAGGGACGGTGAGACGGCACTGGACGTCTGGATGGGGCTTTACGAAATTCGGATTAGGCCTGTCACCGGGTCGGGTCCGGGTCGGAACGCAGTTTTCCAAACCCGGACCCGCTAAGTTAATAATAGACCCGACCCGACCTGTTTACCCGGTGGGTCTGAAAATTTGGATCCGGACCCAGACAAGCCACCAGTCAAGTATGATACTCACATCATTATAAACTTTGTGGAAATAGCAAGACATGTGAAATATACAACAAAGTGTACAAATTTAAAAACAAAATATATTTTCACTTTTCAAAAAATAATCAAGGTCTCTCATGGAAAATTAGTACTTTTATCTAATAAAGTATCGGTTCTTGTACAGGCATATAGCTCCACACTTTGCGCCGCTTTCTCTCGCACAAAAAACTCGTAGAATAAACTACAAATTAAGTCATAAAAGGTCTCTTGGACTACTAAGAGTATAAAATCATGTGAGCAAGTATTATTATATTTCATATACATGATATTAAAATGATATACAAGAAGCTATATTTATAGCTATATTTAGAGTACTAGGGTTTCCTATACAAGATATACAAATGGGTTAAGCCCAATACTACTAGGGTTTCCACACTCTCCCTCAAGCTGGAGCATATAAATCATATGTACCAAGCTTGTTACAAATATACTCCACTCTAGGACTTCTAAGAGACTTAGTTAAAATATCTGCAAGTTGTTCAGTTGTGTTGACATATTTTGTGATGATATGTCCACTCACGATCTTCTCTCGGATAAAATGACAATCAACTTCAATATGTTTTGTCCTCTCATGATATACCGGATTTGATGCGATGTGCATTGCAGCTTGATTATCACACATGAGTTGAACCGGTTTTGTGTTTCCATATTTTAACTCTTGGAGGAGATGCTTCAACCATAAGATTTCACATGTAGCAAGGGCCATTGCACGATATTCTGCTTCAGCACTAGATCTGGCAACCGCATCTTGTTTCTTACTTTTCCATGAAATTAAGTTTCCACCAATCAAGATACAATATCCCAAAGTGGAATGTCTATCCATCGGACATTCGGCCCAGACTGCATCACAGTATCCCACAATATCATGGTGACCTCGATCTTCAAACAACAATCCTTGCTCCGAAGTTTTCTTGATGCATCTCAAAACTCGGATAGCTGCATCCCAATGTCCAGTACATGGCTTATCAAGAGACTGACTGAGAACACTTACCGCAAATGAAATATCTGGTCTCGTGATGGTAAGATAATTTAATTTGCCGATGAGTCTTCTATATTTTTCCTTGTTGGGCAAAAGATCTCCTTGTTCTGATAAGAGTTTAACGTTCGGATCCATTGATGTATCCACTGGCCTGCAATCTAGCAAACCTGTTTCCTCAAGAATATCCAAGGCATACTTTCTTTGTGAGAGAGAAATTCCATTTTGAGATTGTGCGACCTCAATGCCAAGGAAGTATCTCAACTTTCCCAAGTCTTTTGTTTGAAATTTGCTAAAGAGATGTTGCTTGAGGAGCGCAATTCCTTGATCATCATTACCTGTAATGACAATGTCATCAACATACACAACAAGATAAATACATTTGTTGCCAGCAGAATGTCGATAGAATATAGAATGATCGACATCACTGCGAATCATGCCAAAGCTGCAGACAACGGCACTAAACCTCCCAAACCATGCACGTGGAGATTGCTTCAAGCCATATAATGAACGACGTAATCTGCACACCATACCAGACTCCCCCTGAGCAACAAATCCAGGTGGTTGCTCCATATAAACCTCCTCGTGCAGATCTCCGTGAAGGAATGCATTTTTAATATCCAATTGGAACAATGGCCAGTGACTCATTGCTGCCATGGATAAAACCAATCGAACTGATGCAATCTTCGCTACAGGAGAAAAAGTGCCAGTGTAATCCAAACCATATATCTGAGTATACCCTTTCGCCACAAGGCGTGCTTTAAAACGATCAATCTTCCCATCAGGCCCAACTTTAACCGTGTAAATCCACCGACACCCAACCACTGATTTGCCAGTGGGAAGTGGGACTAAGTCCCATGTGCCACTAGAATGAAGTGCCTCCATCTCAGCTAACATGGCTTTACGCCACTCCAGGTTGTCCAGGGCCTCACGTGTGGTTTTAGGAATGCATACATGAGACAAGTGTGAAATGGAAGCATAGTAAGGTGTAGAGAGACGGTGATAACTCAAAAAGTTATATATGGGATGTGTGTTCAAAGTAGAACGCGTACCTTTTCGGAGGGCAATGGGCAAATTATCCGGAGTATTTTCGGGTGTTGGGTAGCTGATGGCGAAGATACGAGATCTGTCGTAGGGGAATCAATCGGTGTGGCCACAGTAGGCACAATGGGAGGAGGTCGAGGTCGTTGATGGTATACTTGTAATGGGCGGTCTACCATAGGAGAGCAATTTGGGTGCCCATCAGATGAGGGTTGAATGGGAGTCTCCAGATGGATGGGTCGGAGATATGAGGTGAGGTCCAAACATGACGGGGTATCAACTGAAAATGGATAATAAAAGGACGACTCAATGAAAGTAACATCGGCTGAAATAAAATGTTTCTTAAGTAATGGAGAATAACAACGATAACCCTTTTGGAGACGCGAATATCCAAGAAAGATACACTTTATTGACCTAGCCGACATTTTAGCTAATCCAGGGGTCGTATCATGGACAAAACACACACACCCAAATACATGAGGTGGTAATGGAAATAAATCACGATCGGGAAACAAAATAGAATAGGGAATTTCTTTTCTAAGAACTGAGGAAGGCATTCTATTTATTAAGTGACACGCAGTGAGCACAGCATCTGCTCAATACTCGATACGGACCCCATACTTCTGTATGAACTAAATCAAATGGTCATGTAGCCCGTTTATTGACTCGTCTGGGAAAGGATTTACGAGGTTGTTTTCCAAGGTGACATGACTCACAATCTAAAGATGAAAGATTTGAGAAACCTGGAACCATACATTGAAACTTTGAGAAACTAGGATGACCCAGACGGTTATGTAAGGTAATAGCAGGTTCAACTGAAACGGTTGGATCAAGAGGATGGAGATGATACAGACCTTGAGATTCATGGTCGACGCCAATCGTTTTCCCCGTACAACGGTCCTGCACAATCACAGATTCAGCAGAAAATGTTACGGAACAATTAAGAGCACGTGTAATTTTACTGACAGAGACAAGGTTAAAAGGGGTGTTTGGGACATAATCGACTGAGTCTAATGGTAAGGATGAAAGTGGAAGTGCTTGCCCAATACCCGAAGCCGAAGTTTGAAGGCCGTTAGCAAGAGTAATCAAAGGAAGATGTCGGTGCTTGGTTAGATGAGATAAAAGATGGGGATTACCAGAAATATGGTCTGAGGCACCCGAGTCAATGATCCATGAGCCTGTTGTGTTTGAAACACAAGCGGTAGACATCCCGTGTGTGGATAAATGCATATTAGCCAACTTAAATTGCTGAAATGCTGCATATTCTGCCGGTGATAGAACAATGAGAGATGATGGTAGCTGAGCAACATGGGCTGAGGAAGGAGGTCTCTCATGTAATTGGCAACACCTGTCTTTAGTAGGACCAATTTTATGACAAATATCACATCGAGAACGATTCCATCTTGAGCATCCGGTGTTGTTTCCTTTGTCGGAACTCATAGAATACATTTTATTTACTGTTTTTCTTTTTTTTTTGATTTTTTTTTTATTTTTTTTTGATTTTTTTTAAAATGCAAAGAGAAAAGTAAATATAAAAACTACAGCTGCAAGAAAATTAAATATGAGTAATTTAAAAAGAAACAACAAAGTAGCCAACCAGAGAGAATAAGCAGCTGTGACAGACTTAAGAATTCCCCGGGCCTAAGAAACCCAGGCCGGTTGCAGGCATGTTGAAGAACTGTAGCTACAAAGGCATGAAGAGAACAGACCTCTACCTTTCTGGGGACATGCGGATGACTGCTTGTTGATGGCGGTCGGCGAAGGACGACGGTGTTCGGCGAATGTCTGCGGCAGTTGGCGGTGGCGCGTTTGACGGTGGTGGTGCGTGACTCGGTCGACGGCGGCGTAACTTATGTCATTCTGGTCGCCGGAAACTCAGGAACTTCTGGTGGTTGGAGGTGTCAATGCCAGATAAGCAGAAGGAGAAAGATCTGCAAAAAATGTAAAACTGCTGGAGCGGACTTCAACGACGCGTGGCGGCGCGTGGGTGATGCGGCACAGGTGATTCCTCCGGCAGTAAGTCGCGATGAAGCCTTGAGCACAGTGGTGGGTTGATATCACTACCGGAAGCACTCATTTGAAAGTCGCGATACTGTTCACGCCGGAATTCTGGCCGGAAATGACGCCGGAAAAAAAATCATAACACTACTCTAACAATTGCCATAGCGGCTCTGATACCATGTGAACAAGTATTATTATAGTTCATATACTTGATATTAAAATGATATACAAGAAGCTATATTTATAGCTATATTTAGAGTACTAGGGCTTCCTAAACAAGATATACAAATGGGCAAACCCAATACTACTAGGGTTTCCACAAATCATATGTAGTATTATATATGATAATGATATAAAAAATTAATAATAATAGTAATAAATATTAGTTTTAGAAAAAATTCCACTTTTGGTCCCGTGACTATTATACCACTTCCACATTTAGTCCTTTACTTTCGGATTGTCCACATTTAGTCCGTGACCATTATCCCCTCATCACCCCTCATCCTTCCGGCCAAAATTCCGGCAAATTTAATGCAGATTTTAGATATGAAAATCCAAATTTAATGCAAAGACTGATATGAAAAACCCAACTATATATAAAATTTAATGCAAACACTGATTCTGAAGCTAATAAGTGGACTAAATTTGCTGGAATTTTGGCCAGGAGGACGAGGGGTGGTGAGGGGATAATGGTCACGAACTAAATGTGGACAATCTGAAAGTAAAGGACTAAATGTGGAAGTGGTATAATAGTCGTGGTACCAAAAGTGAAATTTTTTCATTAGTTTTAGGGTATCTTACTACCT